GACTAAAAGCTGTAAGACTAAAACATACGGAAACAAGTAAGTAATGTAGAATGCTCCAGTACATTGGATCAAATGCTAAATAGTTAAAAACTATACTGCTGTCCAGAGACTTTTCCTTATTTGCCTTATTTATTAAAAATTTGTTGTCTTTCACTCTTCAAAAGATCTGATAGAGATGTTCTTTTGAGACCCTTCATTAATAATAGTCATAAATAAATGCCACTCTAAAAACTCTGACTGACCATCATTTCTATTTGCTAAAAGGCTGAACTGGCTCATAAAGTTTAATGTTGGTGAGTTGTGCTTTGACTTTGACGATGGTAATTTTAGACGCTTTCTATTCAGCTCTCAGCGGTTGCAGTCCACAGAAATCCTACAAGTTTAAATAGGCATTAAATGGGAGCCGATCATCTTAGTAACAAATAATGGTAATTTACATATATTAACATTTTACATACATCATTCGAAAACTACTGAAGAAAGAAATCAAAAGCAAAAGTAACTTTGTCGTTCACGAGACTTTGCTCACTTTTCATGTTTCAGACAGTTAGTTAAAACCTGTTCATTAAGGTTTTCAAAATGTTAATTTATAACCGGTCAAACTGTAGAATATGTAGAATAGAGTTTACTGCCTGATCAGATCAGTCTGCTGCTGTGGAATCTGGCTGTAGAATGTGGAAATCCAGGTTAAATGCCTAAAAAACACTGCAGATAAAAACTTGCTAGAAAGAATGCTATAGACTGGCTGAGTACAACAACCTGAACTGCTGCTGGATGGGGAAGTCTTCAGAATTCCACCTGTTGTACATTACTTAGACTTGAATAACTGAAAGATGACACATTTGTCCACAAATCTGAGCTATAGGCTGGATCATAGATGGTATCTTTTCAGTGATATGCAGTGTAAGAATTTATTTTTAGAAAAAAAAATACAAAGAGCACCTAGGGCTTTTGGCTTTCAGCAGCAAATTGTAAGGTTGTGGCCTTATGTTTATGATCATAGAACATTTCCTGGTAATCTGAGGGAAGCTTTTATACACCAACATTTTACATTTATTTCATGCAGTTACAGAAAAATTTGCCTTAAGAGTTGTGCATGTAAATTCAGGTGGAAAATTCAAAATATACCTGGAGCATGAGAGGCTAAGAAAGATTACGAATTAGGCTGCAACCTTATCTGTGTCATCCCTGTCTCAGGGAGTTTTGTAGTTTTTCCAGAATGCCAAAAGTCATCTGACCTTAGTTCCACTTCAGACTAGCATTCAATGAAATAAATGCATCTCACATCAAAAACTTTGGTCAGTGTTTGTCAATCTAGCCAAATAAACCTTGAAAGTTTGCAACCTCCTGTAATAAAATCCTGTAACATTGCCTTGCAAGTTGATATGGTTCTTTCTCTTCTGATATTGTGTTTGCCAGTGTTGTACTGAATTCCAACTCCCCTGCAGAATCCAATTCCTCTTCTCATGCACAGGCTACAGTCGCGATTTCAGTTACACATAGAAACAACTCGTGAGTGTAATCTGTAGCATCTATATTGTCCCCTTGGAATTATAAGGTTCTATCTGTGTTCTGAGCAGTTCTGAGGTATTGTGCTTCAAAGATTTTGCATTCCAAATAGCAAAACTGATATGTGGAACACGTCTCTTTCATACATGACAATGACAGACCCCCTTAAATTTATTTGAAATGTACAATATCAAAACCCTATCACATTTTTAAATGGGTTTTTTGGAAGAGGTGAAATGCAGATAGAACCGTCTAATTCTTAAAACTCACTTTCTGCTTGGAATTATAAGGTTCTATCTGTTTCAAAACATGAAAAGAAGCAATGATTTTCAAGAAACAAGAATTGTTTTTAACACATACATTTAGTGTTGGAACAGAGTGTATAGATGTATCAGAAAGCTAAATTTATTGCGTTCTAAGACATTATGTAATTCATTTTTTGTTTTAGAGAAAATCATCTTTTCTTATTCAAAAAAGCACTGCAGATTAAATTTAATTAAATTTATTTTGCACAATTTAAAATATACACAAATAGACTAAGATAACATACAGGGCAGGGAGAGGCAAAAAACCTAATAGGCTTATATAAAGCCTCCACCTAAATAAAAATAAAATTACACAATATACTGAAAAATGCAAAATAATGTACAACATAATAATGACATTAAACAAATCTCAAATAACTTAAATGTTAGCATCAGCATAACACATTAAACAAAACCATTTGAATATGAATATGCGTTATGTATGTGCACAAGTGTCCATACATATATGAAATATAAATACATATGTTTATGAAATAATACATTTATACAACCATATTGACTCGTAAGCGGTAATAAAAATAAATATCACAATAAATGAAGCAAATAAAACAACAGAAGAATAACTACAGTACAGATATTAAATGATCTTTTAAGTATCTTTTATAAGATTTTAAAGAAGAACAATTTTTTGCCAAATGGGAAAGCCTATTCCATATTATAGTGCCCCTAAATCTGATTGAAAATTTACCTCTACAAGTGAGAAATTTAGGAGGATGAAGATTGATGAGTTTAATATGGATGAACATCTGAATTTACTGTGAAATAATTTTAAACTGCTCTGGAATGTTCCCTTCACTTGAAAATATCTTATAAATAAAAACACCTATTTGAAAAATATTGATATCATAAATTGTAAGAATTTGAAGTTTCTGAAATAAAGGAGCAGATGACGTATATAAATCTGATTGGGTTGCAATCCTAAGAAAACATTTCTGAAGGACCCAAATTTTGTGAAGAGTAGTGGAGAAAGTACTTACAATATGAAAGATAAGGATAAATTAGACTATAATAAAGAGTAAGTAGACAATTTCTGTTAACCAAATGACCAATCTTCCTTATAATACCAATAGATTTATGTTTTTTTCTGCTAACCCAGTCTATATGTTCTTTCCAACTCATAGTATCATCAACAATAATTCCTAAAAGTTTTGCACTTGACACTTGAGGCATCTCAACAGACTCAATTATAATTTTAGATAAATTCTTAGAATATAATTTTTCACCACTAAAGATGATTAAGAAAGTTTATTTAATCTAAACCATGTAGCATAGGCATTTAAACTAACATTAACATCCTTAATCAATGTGTTGAAATTTAAATGTGAAGTAACAAGGGTTGTATCATCAACATGATTGGAGTAAGAATATTTGAAACATTAGACAAATCATTAATATAAATGAGAAATAACAATGGTCCAAGAATGGATCCCTGAGGAACCCCACAAAAACAATTTTTTTTTTGCTGGAAGAGCAACCCTTAATACAAACAAACTGCCTTCTGTTTGAAATAATTATATATATATATATATATATATATATATATATATATATATATATATATATATATATATATAATAAATATTTTTTTACCAGTTGTATGTAATATCCTGAAAACCATATTTATACAATTTTTTCAACAATATCTGATGGTTAACTGTATCAAAAGCTTTTGAGAAGTCTATAAAAATACTACAAGCAAATTTGTTTTCTTCAAGTACAGAGGTAACTGTCAATCAGGTGAAGCAGAGCCATATAAGTAGAATGATTTTTTTCAAAAACCATACTGATGTTTATAAAGAATTGAATTAGAATCTAGATGAAAAAGAATTCTTTTATATATTATTTTTTCTAATATCTTTGAAAAACATGGGAAGAAGGTCTTTAGTTATTAAAACAACATGGATCACCTGCTTTAAACAGGAATAATCATGGCAACCTTTAAGTCCTCTGGCACAACACCTGATTTCATAGACAAAGAGGAAATGTGAGTAAGTGGCTGCAATATTGATTGCTTCACCTGCTTGACAAGGAATGCAGAAATATTGTCATGGCCAGCTGAAGATATTTTTAATCCATCAATTATGTCACTTATTTCTTGAATATCTGTAGATTTAAAAGAAGAAGTAATAATAAAGAATAATAAAGAATAAAGAATAATTTCTTGTAATAAAATCCAGTGGATTACCACGACAAATAGGAATATCGTTAGCTAATTCATGACCAATATTTACAAAAAAAATGTTAAATTTCTGAGCTATATGAGATGGATCATTAAGAGAATTTTCACCATCTAACATAAGTGAAGGCACCTCCATAGAAGTCTTTTCTTTCTGTAACAGCTGATTTATTATTTTCCATGTCGCTTTGGTGTACTTTGAGTACCTCATAAATTTTTCACTGAAATATTTCTTTTTTGTAGCGCTAATAGAATGAATATACTTATTTCTATTATAGGATTTATAGACACTATGTATAAGGGGAGTAGGATTTACCATATATTTTCTATACAATTTATTTTTTTTCCTCAACATCTTCAATAAATCAACTGTAAATCAAGGTTTTTTGAAGTCTTGATTATATTTCTTGCTGAAAGTGCCAATTGGAAAACATTCATTGAAGCTAAGACTAATAACTTTTATAAACTTTTGATATGCAAAATCAGCATTATTTTCTTCATATATTTCATTCCATGAAGTATTAGCAAGCATGTCTTTACATTTAGAAATATTTGACTTACTCATAATTCGTTTGTGTATTATTTCTTTAGTATTTTTAGTTTTATTAAGGTCAATCAAAGAGTACTAAAAAATGGGAAAATGATCTGATAAATCAGAAATCAGTACTCCAGATTTCACCACTTCCTTTTAAAGAATTAGTTAAGATGTTATAAATCAAAGTTGCTGAATTTTCTTTAACTGTAACTTGTAACATGTAGATTTATAGATGAGAGGAAAAAAATAACTAGAATAAAGAATATTAAGAAAATCCCCAGTAGGAGTATCTACTTTATTTTTTTTTTAAAGATTTATATTAAAATCACCTAAAATATAACAAAGTTTATCCTCCATATTTATCAAATCAAGTGATCTGGACAGACTTTCATTAAAATCTTTAACGACGGAGTCAGGTGGTCGATAAATAACACCAACAATAACATTCTTTCTGTTAAAAGTGCCAGAATGCTCAAAAAAAAAACAAAAAAAAAACCAGATTTTATCTCCACCCTATCTGATTTCAAAATGAGATCATCCCTAATTTTAAATTCATAATCCTCATAAACAGAGATACTCCACCTCCAGATCTATTTTCTCTTACTTAATGAACCGAGTTATATTTAGGAAGTTTAAAAATATCCTTAGAATCTTCTGTAAGCCATGTTTCTGATAAAGCAATAACAGAAAAATAATGTTTAAGCGTAGATAAATAATGAATGAATTTATCATAGTTACAGGAAACACTTCTTATATTCAAATGAAGAGTGGAGAGTATATTAGAAGGCATAGAAACACACAACTCATTAAACTGGCTTTCATTATAAAAAGTACAAATATTAGAGACATAGAATGAGGGAAAAAAAAGTAAGTCTGGGTCAACTTCAAAATTATGAGTTGCTTGTAGAGAGATCAAATGGCTTGAAAATCTGAGCCTCAAAATCACATTTGTTACAATCCATAATGCAAACAAAAAACAATGTGGTTTAAATATGTAAACCAAACAAGCACTGTGTAAACAACCAATAGTGAAAATTAATGAGCTAAATTCTGAACACTGACCTTTTTTTGTTGTAATGGATTTTGAATTGGTGGATGAACAATGAGTTTGTCATATCTCAAATATGCAATATCACCTCTCTCTCAAGCTGCCTTCATTGCTGGGAGTAGTTCTTTCCTTCTCTGTCAGACAGCTTCAGGGAAGTCCTCATTAACAAAGATGTCTGAGCCCTTCAAGATTTTAGCTTTATCCAGAACAGCAAGTTTGTCCTTCAATCACAATGGGCTGGGGCTTTCCTGAAGATGATGTTGGCTTCCCAGTCCCAGTTGTAGTTTTTCTCTGAACAACTTTCTCACTTTTTCTTCAGATTCAGATACATTTTCTTTGATAGACTCTTTGATGCCATGAACAACAATATTATTTTGTCTTCATTGGCCCTCCAAATAGTCTGTCTTGTCTGAGATTGAAATCAAACTTTTACAGACGGTGTCCAAATCTGCCCTGGTTTCATTACTGTTCTTGGACCACGTTTTACATGAAAGTCTGAAATCATCAAATTCCTTTCTAAACTCACCTTGAGATCACACTTGCTTTGACAGATCATCAACCCTCCTGTTTGAAGAATCAACTATGATCTGTACACAAGTTTTAAAGCTCTTTTCTTGTTGTTCAAGCAAAGTTCTTTAAATATTTTTTTGCTGGTCCAACAATTCACGCATTTGAGTCATGACAACATATTCCTCAGTAGTGTTATCAGAAGCTTTAGGTGGCATGTTTTGATCATCCAATGTCAAGGCCCACTAGGCCCAAAGTTCAGCAAAGTAGAGCCAGAAGCCTCCACAAAATACTTGCAGTGTCCACAATTCTGATGGAAAGAGTTAATTTGACCTAGGTCAAATTGAAAATTGAAATAGGTCAGTGCTAAATATTTTGTCTAGTGCAAAGGTCAATTTGAGGTAGAGACCATTAGTTTAAGTTTCCTTTAGGTTAGACAACAACCAGCTACTGTAATAAACTGTTGCAGCAAGTGTGGCAGATCAGTAGAATGTTGTATAAGGGATCTACTTTTCCACCATGTTCTGTAATACCCTCATTTGATCCAGTTAACACACCGATAGAGAAGGTATGATTAATAGAAAAATCTGTGCTTTGTTCCAAAATGCCAGTATTTCTGTTCCACATGTAATTGCAATTTGCAAGCGTTGTCCATTGATATTACCTATACCCAGAAACTCTTTTTTTCATTTATTTTTGCTTCTGACACTCAAACACTCAAAGACTATGGCAAAATATTTGTAGCACTGTCTTGGACTTTATAGTGAATTTGAACTTTATCTAGAAAATGTTTTTTGTTTATTTACTTATTTATTTTTTTCTTTCTTTCTCTCCTCCCTGGACATACTTCATTTGTGCAAAGATTTAATTAATAAAAAAAAAAATAAATAAATAAAAATGGAATGCAACCTGGGCAGTGGAAGATGATGTCGAGCACAAACAAACAAGAATGCACACTGAGAAACAGCCAATATCTCTGTCCTAATTCACCCCTCTCAAAATGTTGAAACCATAATGCTGGCTTCTTCACTGAGGCTGTACAGTAAGTATAAATTGTGTCTAACTGTTCATATGGGACAGAGGTGCATCATGTACAAATGGGCTTTTCACAGAAGACCTAATTTTTGGGCTCTTTCAGTGTAACAAACAATATATCACACATAGTAAAAGAAAACAATTCAGAGGGTGTATACATTTTTTAAATTTTTTAAAAAAAAGTTTTTTGTTTTTTTTTTACAGCATCTTAAACACTGAAGCAAACACTTGTTTTACTTTGGCAATAAAATCTTACGGTGCCAATTACAAGACAGCTTCATGACAATGAATCATTTGCACAAAAAGTATACTCATTTTTATCTCACCAGTGACGAAATATGTAACATGGTGTGGTCCTATCTTTGACTTAACCAAAAAAAAATTCTTGGATGCAACACTATGCTACAGCCGGGATGAAATATTGCAGAGACACATCTTCTTGGAGAAGAATCAGATGAATAATCCTTTTGTCAACAATATCTGCAAGAAGTAGAAAATAGGAACCTTCGTGAATTCACATCTTCAAAGTAAATAATCATGACACTCTTCATTTACTTAAAAAAAACGTTATTGCAATAAAACGCGTTTCGATGAGAGCCTTAATCAAAGAGCCATGGATATTCCCTTTTTCTTAAAGCCTTCATGAACGCACATGACAATGCTGACCTTTCAGCTGTATTGTTGGACTGTATGTATTACCACTAATCCAAAGTAGGAGACAAACTGGACACAACCAGTGACAGTCACCACTCAGCACCTCACTACTACTGTACTACATTGAATCCAGACCACATATCCATTGAGCTTGTTATGTGCTATCCAGCAGCAGAAAACCGAGCACGGTGCTCTGGCAGCATGGCGCAGAGCTTCTTGTCTGGTGTGCAGTAGCCTTTAACAGACTGCTACACTCATTCTCTGTTTCCTTCTTTTCAGTAAAAAGATAAACTCTAAACAAAACATAAGATGCAGGTTCTTCACTGCCCTCTGATGGAGCAGTGATGAAGTTCAGACATCTAATGTTTCTTCAATAAGAGGACATAAAACATCAGAGAGAAGCTAATTTACATGTCAAACTCCTAATTTACTATTGGATTTTTCATACTTTCAATATTTCAAAATTCTAATTCATCCATAATCCAAAGTCAAATACACATTAAATCACATCAAATACTGATACCATAAAATGTTTCCCCTTCTACATAAAACAGTGGGGAAGAGACTCAGTAATCACAATCACCTACCCACCAACCCCATTAACAATTATTATTCTTTTCTTCAGCAAACAAAAGGGGACACTACAACCACAACAGTAATACACTGTTGTCCATTCACATTGTTTACCTCTGTCCAGTGCTCCAAAATTTTTGAAGCAGCAAATGTTATTAGAATTCATTCCCACCAAGTCAATACAATCTGTGTCTCCACGTTTAGCTGTGCAAAAAACTACAACCAAATCAGATGTCATTCATACAGCATGCCCCTTTCTGTAAGGTACTCACTGCACATGGACTTGTTAGGGTTGACCTGCTGTCCCATAAGGAACTGCTGGAGTTTCCTTATATCCACACGAGCATGTGCCATGGTTTCAACGTCTCTGCTCTGACTCTGTATGGCATTATCACCTGATTAGAGTCAATGAGAGTGAGGGAATGGTAAGCCAGTAAAGGAAGTATTTAAGAGCATATGAAGTAAGCTCAATCATGGGCAGCTTTTCCACTTGCTCAGCCATTACAAAACATTGGAGATTACGGAGAGGGAAAAAATATTTCAAATTCACAATGTGACACAACAAAATATGAAAATTTTGTGAGTCTGAAAACACCATTGAGCATGATAATTATGAAATTTCAGGGACGTGTCCAATTTCATTTCCTTTAGTTAGTGAATTGAATTAGTCATTAATGGTGGAGCGTGGTGCTTGAAATATGGCACAGATTACCATTCCAACAAAGCACTGGTTGAAACTGTTTACAGATATTGTAATAAACACATGGCATTTTACAAGGAACATGCATCATTGGCTATTGAGTTTGCAGTTCAGACAAATACCAAACTTTGCAATTTACAGTCATCAATAATATAACAGCATATGAATGACTTTGAAGCATGGGTAGTAAAGAGTCATAGCAATTAGCTTATGTCCAATCATACCTTAGCAAGTGTAACCAGACCTAGGAACCACTGACAAGTTTACATTACTTTCCAATATACCACAACGTTGCGTGTTTAAAATTGGTTATCTGATTTGCCCTTTTTTTGCCCTAAACTGAAGGTGCAAGAGGAGAGGTGTAGGCTGTAGATTAAATGGTGTAGAAGAACGCATTACCAATTAAACTTGTCAAAAGATACGTGGCTAAGTTGGGTAACTGCTATTTGATGAGCCTTCCCCCTTTTTGACTATTATCTGTAGGCTTTAGCCTCTGTCTTTATCATTTGAGTAATATTAAGACGCTAGGAGATCATAATGTTTTCTATGTAGTCTTCAAAATGCATACTTTTTGTCTACACCTTTCTATACTAATACTAGAGGATTTTAAAATATTTTTTATCTATTTTCATTGACGTACAGGACTAGTGCACCACTGCATGTTGCTAGTTTACTGTACTTTCTATGTAAAATATTTCCAGAACTGACTTGCCTTCTGAAGTCATTTGAAGGGTGTCTCTCACTGGCCTAATGTGATGCAAAACCAATAAGACCTAAAGTGTCTTTTTGGAATTTTAATAATATTAAATAATATTAAATAATTAAATAATATTATAATCACCAATAACTTAACAAATAACTGCTTATTTGATTTAAGCATGTGCTTGGTCTAGGTTAATGCAGTAACTGCGGTAACGTTCCTTTAACAGTAAAAGCTGATCAACCGTTGGATTAAAAAAAGAGAAGTGACTTATTCAGCACAAACTTATGCACTCTAAGTGTCCTACCCTTCAATACTGTAGAAAAGCCGGCAAGTCTCTGGCAGTTCCTGACCTCTACCGTAAGCAGTAAAATACATGCCTGTGGATTTGCTCCCAAAGTTTAAATAAAATAATTAAATCCACAAGCAAAAGTTTCAAAATATTAAAAATTTCAGTTACAAAATATTATAGCATTTTTTTTTTATAATATTGAGTAATGTTGCTTTAATTCTTTTTGCTTTTGCTGATTTTGATAATGCTTTTGACTAGGGCTGGGCAACACGACAAAATAGTTATTGTGATAACTGTAGATATTGTATATTTCTACAGTACTAGAACACTGATGAACTCCATGTTTCATTATAAAGAGAGCAAATTTAGTCCAGATTAACTGGATTTAGTGCAACAGTATGCTAAATACTAATAAAAAACATTGTGCTCACATTTTTGATAGCATTTTTAAATTGTAAAATGTACTGGCACATTTTATGGGGGATGGGTCTTTGAAGAAGACTGTCTACTGGTCGACTGATTTAGAGTAACAGGTCCTCTGACCCTTAACCACAGCCACTCCATGAACTGTGAACTGGCCCCATAATGGCACAATGCGTCTTGCCAAGTGTAGTTAATCTCTGGTGTTTTCTATTTTTCTTTTAAATTATTCATGTAACACAGGTTTGGAGTCATGTGTCGCCCTGTGTAAAAACAACATATTTTACAAATTGAATTACAGGAGGCAAGCTCAGTTGTTAAACAAAGCTGTGACGTCTTTCAGTACTGCAGCTGATAGCACTAACTAGCCGAGCAGTGTTCGCTAAAGAGCTGACTAGACAAGCAATGCAACTTTAAAAAAAATAAATAAACAAAAGCAGCTTGTGTCAACCACATGTAGATATAACGTTAATATGTTACTGGTGTGTGCTAGCGCAAAGGGGTATTTCAGTGTAAAGGGCTACTGGTAGCTGCCAACCACAAGTAACTAACACTGCCATGTAATGTGTTTAATTTTTCTTCCTTGAACATAAATCAGTAAACTCACCCCAGGGAGGGTTGCCAAGATCTCTGAAGTGTGTTGTGACAGACACCAGATCTGTTTCAATCTTTAGATTCATTTCACCATTCAGATTAGCCTCCACTACCTGAGTGTGTGAGAGCGAGAACAAAACATACAAAGCATTTTTTTTGTATGCATCTACAAATGTATTTCACTTCACAGCTCCTCCAGTGTACAATTGGTCAGCATGAGTTAATTGCTTTAGCACCACAAGTTCCTGCCCATGGGGATAATGTTTAAGCATAATTGCATAATTTAAATTCCACAGGCCTCTGGCAGTTAGAAAAACACACAAGGTTAAATAATTATTGTTGCATGGATGTAACTTTACGAGGACTGCTAAACACTAGGTTTAACTATGCTTACAATTACAAGACATTTTAACAATAGGTAAGATTCTCCTTAAACCTGACAAATCCTTTTGAAAACAGGAAACTCTGTGTTGTCACATGTCAAACCATCCTCTCGGTTCACTGATGTTGTTACGTCCTTGTCAATCTGTGGTCAAGCCACACCAAAAATAACAATCTCAGATACTATACTTGTCTTGCTGGGTAGTTTAGTAAATCCCAGGTCCTATAAAATGTTATCTGAATTTTTGAAAGGGACACTTCTACTGTTTCTCATTTGTATTTTTAACCATGTCTTGGAAAAGTTACTTTTTTCCACAGGTTTTCAGTGGGAAGAATTTCTATTCTGAAATCAAGATCAATTCTCAAAAAGTCTGTATCATTATTGGATTAACAAGTTCCTATAAATCAAACACAAATACACTATGTCTCCTGCGGTGCACAGTACATGATATTGACCAGTTCCTCATACTCACCAAGTAGTTGGAGAGGTTTTTCATTCTGTCCACCACACTCTTCATGGTCTTCAGCGGGGGTAAATATATGCTAACCTACAAATAAAAGATTTAGATTTCAGTCTAGATTTCATTTAGACTTCAAGAAACATTAATGAGAGAGGAAAAATAAAGACAATGTAATTTTACAACTGCACAGAGGGAGGTAAGGGCATGGATGCACAACAAACCCAAGACAGAGAAAAAGGAAAGCATGTTTATTTCCAACTTTTCCAGAAGAATTTATGGCAATGTATCTTTAGTACATATTAAACAGAATGATGGAATATCACACTTGTGATGCCAGGTAGGACAGGCCAGCTACAGCTTGAAAATCAAACCTTGTGAGCATGCTTATTATTTTTAAGACACCTGTTAAAAGAATTCTCAACTATCTGCCATCAGCCATTCATCTCGTATCAACAACCACCCATGCCGCATCTGTAATATATGACTGATTACCTAGGTAATTTTGATGCGTTTCTCCTGTTTACTCAAAATACAAGAGATGCAATGGTGAAACACATTTTTGCAGAACACAAAGATTGGACAACCCTGTGTTAGAGTGTAAATATTCACAGAATTCAGTAACTGCTCTTTAATTGTATTCATAGTCAAAATGGTCTGCATGCTGCACTTGTTTGCCATATATCACAGCACTGTAAATCTAAAAACTCACCCAATTTCCCAAGAGATGTTACTCATTTCTCAAACCGAAGACAAAAGAGAAATGTAGGATCTAATTTAAATATGTGGAAGAGCGCATTAACAAACTAGAAAAGAGCATTTCCAGTACAATTGTTAAACCAAACATTTTGTTGTCATCAGTGCCACAACAGTGAGTGAGCAGCAGGCTACAAATATTTGGTATGGCTATATGGTATACCTGGTATATCTATCTCCCCACCAATGTAAGAAGATAATAAGTGCTGTCCAGATTGAGTTGAATTCAGTGGTTTTGTTTTTGACCAAGGCCGATTTCCATTTATACATACATACATATACACACACACACACACACACACATACATACATACATACATATATACGTATACATATATACATATATATACACACTGAATGGAAAAATACAGATTATTCTTTCTCTAAGTGAACAAATTTCTACAAAACGTTAATTGTGAAGTACTCTGCATTGTATAATACACAAACTGGTGTTACTAGTCATATTGACAGTGTTCTTAAGAATCTGTGTCAAGATCTGTGTCAGCACTAGAATTTCAATGATAGTACAGACACTGCTAGATCAAATTTGGATATTGATCTGTATATTTTGGACAGGGGTTTCTTTACTAATTACATGTTAATGACATCTGACACTGATGAAACAAATGTAATTTCTTTTAGACTGATTTTCAAACATGGATCAGGGATGTAGAAATTCAAGAAATGGATTCTTCCCAATGGCATGCTTCTGGGTTATATTTGAGAATGAAACAAAAGTGTTTTTCCTAAAAATGTGTTTGAGATGTGCAGTTCTTTTATCTACATGTGGAGAAGTATTTTTTCATTACTGGGAAGTCACTGTTGTACCATATAAGACTGTATTTTGTTGGTGAGAGTGAGGAGTGCTCTTGTGAAATTTTCTATTATTGTCAAATTTTCTATTATTTGTCAAGTACAGGAAAACGCATCAAAATTCATATAATTAATAACACAATACAGATGCAGCAGATACACAATATGCTAGTATACTTCTTTCATTGACTTTGTCACTTAATTTTATCTCAGTAATGCTTGACAAATTGATAATCCATCTTAAAGTCTGTGTAAAGTAAATTCAGAGATTTGTTTCTAAACACTTTTACATGTTAGAAAAAAACACTATGTAGTACTGAACTGTAGTGTTAGCAAGTTAAACGGTTTTTCATTATTTTTGTGATTTTCAACATTCATCAGCACTGGAACCGTACTCAGCACGACCCCTGCCCTAAACACTATAAAAACTAGAGCGCATTAGCATCAGTGGTTCTCCCAGCCTAACTTTATTTGGCTAGGTTATGCTACTCAGTAATACCTGTTGCTAACTTGCATAAACGGGATGAAAAAAAATTATCAGTCTGTTGTAGACTGAGAGGACCAAGGCTGATTCTTGGGTAAGTCAGTGTCCTCTGGCTCCAAACTGGATTCTGGCTCTGGTGGCTCAAACACGTAAAGCTGACAGATGGAACAAATTCTGTGTGTTTGTGTCAGCTGAAGCGATATTAGCGGCTTCATTTCAATTCAAGAGAGGCTTTGCTGCCCAATCTAGCAAGCCGATGGATATGCTAACATTAGTACCCAGCTGAAGTCGGCTTCCTATTACTCAGCTTCTTGTTTGAATTTTCCCGTTCCACCTTAAATAGTGTAGCAGTTACATTCTGGTAAACACAAAGCTGAAGTCAGGTTCCTATTCGATTTTTTCCACTCCACTTTAAACGTTGCAGCAGTTAAATTCTGGCGAACACAAAGCTGACGAGAGGCTGCACCTTTCCCGCAGTTGGGCGAGTACTGAGCGCCTTTAGTGGACAGGCCTCCAGCATTTCAGAGCAGAAAATACCACACATTTTTTAGTGATTTTGAAATCTAACTTTAGATGTGACAAAATCAATTATTTCTGTATTACATGGACTTTAAATCTCTCTTTCAAATCTTCCATTAAACACTTTGACTAGGGGAAGTGCCCGATCACTTACGTCAAAATCTGGCATAGTAGGTTCTTTAAAGTCGTGCCAGAGCCTTCTGGGAATTATGTCCACAGGGATGTCATGGGTTACGATGCGACTGATAGAGGATAGTGAAGGCTTAAAAGTTGGAGAAGAGTAAATAAACCAAGTTAACAACAGAAGGTAAAATGAGTCTTGTTGTAGATCATGGTTGCTATTCATAGGTGAGTCTGTTCAATATCTATAGACATGCACAAATTTTGCTTTCTGTTTTGTACAAACTAATATGTACTGTGAAAACTGGCATTTCACTGAAAGAAAACCTGGAATGAGAATAAATGAGAATTATGACACACCCTGTGACATTTATATATTTAAAGACAAATGAGATGTATTGCTGCTTACAAAGGAAAATTATCGCAAATGATGAAAACAATAGCTAATTCTAATTGATTTTCAATTACATCTGCATTTCATGTGAATGTAAATGTTGTATTTGCAGAAACGCAATAACATCTGTAAACGTAAATTCATCATGTTAACTGCATATAGGCCAAACATTATACTGAATAAACGTTGTCATTTTTTTCTTTTCTTTCTATTTCTTTCTTTCTTTCTTTTTTTAAAGATGAGGTTTTAAAAAAAGGACTTGCTCTTACCAGTTCTGCAGCTAGAGTGAAGCATGGACAGTGCTTCTTTGTCAGTTTTATTTTGACAGACTTGGCATTCTGGGCAGTTTTTAAAGCTCTGGATAGGTTCTCTGGTGCTACTTCTAAGCAGATTTCATTAGCTTCTGCTGACACACCCTCCAATTGATATTCGTCAAAAAAATTCACCTTAAAGAGAGTAAAACATTTGTGATCATTTTTCACTCACAATTAAGAGTATTTATATACATCAAATTTTGTAACAGCCCTTAAATATCTGTGCTGCCTTTAAACCTGTGAAGTTATACAAAATTAGTAATAAGATAATCTAAGGAACTGTAATATCTAAATAGTTCTATATACAAAGATTAGCTAAAAAATTCTACAAAAATAAATTTAAGTTCACCTGTAGTAACTCACACCACATGCTGACTCCACCATTGGCGACTTTGCCAGAAAGGACAAAATACATGTTGTCCACAGTGAGCCGTAGAACACAGGTCTTTGTGAGTTTTGTAATAGTATTCAGCACACCTGTTAAAACATTTACATCAGCAAAATTTCACAAACTCTGATAAGGAATAAAAGCAACATAAGCCCTTAATTGCAAAACCGAAAGATTAAAGTACTTATTGTATTGCTTCTTTTTCAAATGATCTGTTCCACCTTAGATGTCAGATATGGATTTCCACAGCCGTCCCCACTCTAACCACTAGGGGTAGGAATCTCTAGGCCCCTCACGATTTGATTTGATTACAATTCAGAGGGCTGCAATGCGATTATAAAATGATTATCGATGCATCTTGATGCATCTTTTTTTTCTATAGAGGATTTCTTTTTTCTCACTGTATGACAACTTGGAACTTTTAAAACAAAGTATTTGTAATGATCCATCATGAATTTACTTCCAATATCTTTTATTAATAAATCAAATGGAAGTGATGTGGCAAGTCAACTGGAAGGCTCTCATTCACTGCTCTTGTTTGGAGCACATGCGACGCAGGCTGCCACTCATCTGTGATAAAATGTGCTGTTACGGTGAAAAAGATTCTGTGGTAATGGATGTCCACACAGCACTTGTTTTTTTAGCGATACAATAACTTCGGTTTTGTTCTTGTTGTAGAGAGTGGGGTGCGTCACTGCGTCAGTAAAATATCTTTGAGACGGGTCACTGTATCTCAGCTCTGAAGTGTGCAACACAACGTGAAAGCCCAGGTTCTCAACAACTGAATACAGATACAAATCCCTGGCAATAAAAGTTGTGATACAGTTTGTAATTTGCTTCGTCCTTTTCGATTTGTGTGAAAGCTCTGACATCACGTGATCGATGGTCCTCTGGTTGGCAGCAACTACAACCAGGCAGAAAATGTGTGGAAACTTGTTATATGGTTTTCCCTCTTAACTCTACAGAAGCCAAAGTGCTTCCATACGCTACCTCAAGGGTTGGCAACCTGCGGCTCTTTTGTTGGCCTGGTGTGGCTCCACATCAGAGTTAGATTTCAAGGTAAAAATAAAATCCTCCTCCTTTGCAGTAAAACAAAGCTCTGCTGATCGTTCACACACAGTTTTAACAATAAATGATCTTAAACGCTGAAATTAATGTAGCCTATAACTGCTAGTTCGCCTAGCTAGTAGCTAACGAAAAGGCAAAGAGAAAGATTTAAGATGAACATCAATAATTTGGAGACCAATAGTCTTATTTGTATTTATAAATCACTCCAGCTGGTTTCCTAATACATTTAATCTGCAAGGAGAGACTGTCAAACACTAAAAAAACGTGAAACTGAAGTCGGTTTCTTGTTCTCCAGCTTCTTGTTTGAATTTTCCCGTTCCACCTTCAATGGTGCTGCAGTTACATTCTGGCGCCTCTGGCACCATTGAAGATGGAGCGGGAAAATTCGAACTGGAGAACCTGGCGAATGAGAAACTGACTTCAGCCTCGTAACATTGAGAGACATTTTACAAGAAACTGTTCTACTTTTGTGGGAAAGTTTCCAGATGGTGATGCAAGTAAAGTGGCTACAGCTGAGCTAAAGCTTAAAGCAGAGCAAAGTAAGTCTGTGTTTTTGTTTATTTTTTAGCCTGTACTAGGACTTTAGCACATACTGAGACATATTTACAGCCAAGATGGTAAAATGGACTCAAAATGTTGGCTCCCAAGGTGGTTTGATTTTTGCTAAAAGGACAAAATGACTCTTATTAACATTTGGGTTGCGACCCCTGCGCTAGCTTTTAATGTAGTGTGCATGCCACAGACTGTCTGGGCGCTGCACTTCCGCACTTTGCAAAGTTCTGCCTTTTGCATTCCGTCAACATTACGTTATCAATTCAAATTTAGAAAATCGATTCTTGACGTTTGTGAATCGATTCAAAATCGTCCACGTCCGCATCGCGATGCATCTAAGAATCGATTTTTCCCCACACCCCTACTAAACACCCTACCCCCGTTCCCCTAGCCACCCAAGAGTACTTTTTAAGATGAAGATGATTTTGTACTACAGAAGGCACCGATCCGATACCAGGTATCAGGCAGATATCAGTAGAAAATGCTGGATTTGATATTGGAGAGAAGAAATAATGAATCCGATTGAATCCCGTTACAAATCTAGCCTGAAATAGCACACATTGTTGTATTACGTGTTTAACTATGTATTTCTTCCTGTGGGGTTAGTAGAGTGAGTAGTTTGAGCATGTTAGCATACTTTTAGATGCCCCTCTTAAGTGAAGCACTTCTCTTAGAAATAGCTCAATTGAATGCTTATTTTCAAAAATTGTTTAAAGAAATTCTTTAAAGAAATTATTTAAAGAAACAGTATTGGTATCAGCAATACTCAAGGTCTCAATGTCTGTATCAGAACTTTGTACCCATTTGAAACCAAGTATTCCTATTTTACAAAGTGGTATTTTTGATGTTAAGATGAGGTTTTTGTAGCCTAAAGTGTTTCAAGCCTGTATAGGCTGTATGAAGGCACATATAGCAAAACTAGGCCATTTTATAAATCATAAAAGCAAACTGTATTCCTTTATGTCAGTGGTTCCCTGGTCCTGGAGAACCCCCTGCCCTGCACATTTTAGTTTTTCCCCTGCTCCCAACACACAACTAATCAGCTCATTAACAAGCCCTTAATGACAAAGTTGGTGTGCTGGGAGCAGGAAAACACTAAAATGTGCTGGACAGGGGTACTTTACCAGGGTTTGGAACCACTGCTTTACGTCAAGGTAGATTTTAGTGGTCTGACATGTCTTCACTTTTAAACTGTGATCTGTTTATGGACACACAAAAGTCCATTAAGACATTTTGTGGTATTTTATGGGTTAAGATCACTCTAGACCAGTCTGACACTTTGCTTACAGTAAGGGTGAAACTTAGTTATATTACTTTAGTATGCCCTATTTTTCCAGGATATCATGACTTTTTGTGGCCCAACATTTTTGAACCAGTTATTCCTGTCTTTTAATCCCTTACACTGTAGTCTCTTCATAGGTGCATAAAAGTAAACTATGGCATTTTAAGGGATTGCATGTAGCAGAAAAACAAAAGAAACATACGGAGCAAGAAATACATGGCAGATCTGCCTTGGTCCTGACTGGATGGCATTTTGAGTAGGGGTGTGGAGGCATCTCCGGGGGAAGAGGTGATGATCATGTCAACATTTAACAATGTCAACCGTTTTTTTAAACTCTGACAGAACTACAAGTGCAAAAAATAAGTTGCACGGATAATGGATAAACAAGCATTACACTGTGTTTTACTAAAGACTGTAAAACAAAAAGCATGCAGCCTTTTTTCTTGGGGGTTCATACTGTGTTTTTCAAGGCTAGTAGCTGCACTTATCCCCAAAGCAGCACCAGTGTTGTAATAGTAAATCAGCATCAGTAAAGCAGCAAGTTGATTAATGTTAGCATAGCTAGCTATCATTTGGATATGTAGTGATAATTTGGTAATAATTTGGATCTATGAAATCAAACATTTTACCCTATGTGGCAATTGCACCCACTAGTCTCTCCTTCACCTTCATCTGAATGGTCAGCACAGCACACATAGTTAACTGCTTCGAGCTGAACATTTTTCAGCTCAATGTGCCATACTGAAAGACAGCCACAAAGGGCACATAAAACTTTAGTCAGTGCTATAGCCACAATTCAAATAATAATTAAACTTCTATCCAGTTTTACAAAAATATTTTTTTCTGTGATCCTACTAGCTACTTCCCAAGGTACTGGCCAAAGGAGCCACACGTTCAGTAAAGAATCAACAAGATAGGCACATTTACAGCAAATCCCAAATGGTCTACCCACTTAAGTATTTTGTCTGCTAATTTAACTTTCCACAACTCATCTAGATCCAGGTCAGCTGGGCCTACACAGCGTCTTTGTACATGTTACAGAGAAATGTAGGATGTTAACTGCTTAACTCTATCAAGCAGTACACCTGTCTGAAAGCATCTGCCCTCGTCACGTTTCTCTACTCATTTATTCAGGTTTTGCCTCTGTCACCCATCTGTAGGCACATACAGTACAGTAAGGCCTTTTTAAACAATAAATTATTCAACCTTTAAGGCTGAACATAACCTGCCAATCCAAAAGAAAAAATTTCAGAAAGTTCTATTTTTCATGCTAAGGTGCGTTTTAGTGGCCCAGTGTTTTAAGTCTTCATACTTACATTCTTCATGGGCACATACAATTAAATCAGACACTTTTAAACATATTGTGGTAATTTAAAGATGAAAAAACACTCTGGGCTAGTTTGAACCCAATTTGTATTATTTTAGAAAGTCCTATTCCTTCATTTTAAGGTAGGTTTTAGTAGCCAAGTGACAAAGTAACGTTATTATCTACTATGCATGCCTTAATTATTCACCTAAACAAAGCACATATAAACTACAAGCCCTGCCATTTCATTACTAGCTAGGTATATTTTCTTGTTTCTTCACTGACATGCAAAGCATAATCGGAGACAACACTGTGACTGAAATGAATAACCTAACCTACCTAACGCTAGTTAAGTAGCTGGTTAGTTAGCTAGATGTTAGCTTTATCTATTTACCTACGTGTGAAATGATTTAGACATCCCACGTCATTTATCTTCGCTCGGAACTTCATAGTCTCCTCAGCCTGCAAATTCGCACTTTTGACAATGATCCACGACTCTTTACTTCACCGTAATGTTAGTTTCAGTGACTTCAGCAACCCGCTGACTGCCGCTTCCGTTGCCGCCCGTGACGCACATGAATTAATGCTCCCTCTAGAAACAAGATGTTTTTCCATGGTTCCGCATCTACATTTTTCAGAACTAGTAGTCTATCACAGTCTACCATATTAAACAAACGGAAAAGTTACTACATTAGAGATATATAAAACACAGTCGTCTTCCAGCTAAGACGTCATGATTATGCCCCGTTACTAGAGAAGTTTTCAGTTACATTTAACCTGTGCACCAGTGTGCCTACGTGATTATAATGCAAGGAGTTTAACATTTCTATATACTGAGTTTGACATTATTGTTCTTTTAAGATGTAAAGAAAAAATAATAAGTAACTGTTACAAGTTGCAGTTTTGTGACGGTGAACTAGATGAACTAGACTGCGTCCGAGGCATACTTTCATACTATATAGTACGTCAAAGCAGTGCGCGAGAATAGTTAGTATGTCCGAATATGTAGTATTCACGGGGCCACATCAGAGATCCCATAAGGGGAGATGGCAAACCTAATTGGCCAACATTGTGGAAAGCATAACACCTAGCTTGGCCAATCAAATCAGATTTGTAAGCCAATCATAACCGACCTTGACGTCAGCAAAGCTCTTTCAAGCGTTCCAAGCGATTCAAGTTTTATTTATTTATTTATTTATTTATTCATTCATTCATTCCCGATTTTCTCCCCAATTTAGTCGTCTCCAATTCCACCCGCTAGTTAGGACTCCCCCAATCACACGATACTATCAACGCTAGGAGGGTGAAGGCTAACACAGGTTTCCTCTGAGACCTGTGAAGCCAACCACCGCTTCTTTTCGAGCTGCCGCTCACACAACGTCACTGGACAGCCGAACGCGCTCGGAGGAAAGCGCCAACCGCCAGATCTGTTACGTCAGCTAACAGACGCCTGCGCTGACTAGCATCGCGCTGAGTGATGGGGGGGAGAAGGAGGGGCCATCCTACCCACCCAGAGAGAGCGAGGCCAATTGTGCTCTCTCGGACTCCCGGCTCGAACTCGCGATCTCCTGATAGGGCCAACGCTTAGACGGTTGCGCCACTCGGGAGCCAAGCGATTCAAGTTTGAAGGAAATCATTACTGATCACTGTTATCATAATAATTATTACTAAGCACTGCTATTGTAATTCACTGGAAGACTGATGGGACAAACTACAGCCTTTTAATTTGCAGTGAACATACTTGCTCTGCAAAGAATTATTTGTACTGCTGCTGTAGTTAACCTTAATAACATTTAAAGCCACTGTTAGGCTACGTTCACACAGCACGTAAAAGGGGCCCAAGTCTAAGAAGGCGTTTTAGGCCACTGTTAATAAAAATAAAAATAGACTTTGAGAATAAAGTCGTAATACTTCAAGAAAAAAGTCGTTATATTTCAAGAAAAAAGTCATACTACTTCGAGAAAAAAGTCGTAATATTTCAAGGATAAAGTGGGCTAACTGTAGGGGGGCTGCCGTAACATGTTGGGGTCTCAGTTGCTGTACTGGCGTGCTAGAGTTCCAAACACTTTTGTCTCTTTGTGGATCGATCATTTTGATTATCATTCTCACTGTCTGTGAAACTCTGCAGGGGTTCAGTCCCAAAGTGGCATCTGGCAGCAGGAAGTGGCAACTCCGCCATTCGGAAATGGCACGTACTGGCATGTGCCACTTAGCGAATGGCACCTACCACCGATAACTGGTAACGAGTGGCACATGCCGCTCATGCCACTTGAAACACACAAAAACAGCATGTGAGTAAAGCAAAGACTCTGGACAGCGGCTACTCGGCTCGGCTAACTAGCAGCACATCATAGCTCCACCATTGGCCATCAGAACCTGGGAAGTCATGGAGGAATGTTGACCTAAAGACTTTGTGCAGATAGTCTGTCATTTTGTTGGTTCACTGGTTGTGCTGTTGGGTGAACGATCCTAAGCGAAATGAGCCTCTTTAGCTGAAGGCTATGCAACAATAGCGGTAATGCTATCTTGAATATAGACTCCTTGCGGGCTTTTGTTGTGGCACGGAGAGCTGAAGAAAGCAGCTCATGTTACAGATGTACTCAAACTAATTACTGAATTCATTGTGGTGTTATTCATGCTAAAACTAAAGTATGTATAGACTATTTATCAGCATATTTATTAAACAGGACAAGAAGAACGCAGGCTTGTGTTCTTCGTTTTAATGTTATTTATTTTTTTTTCAGGAGTGGCACTAGCCATTTATTGAGGGTAAAGGCACTGGCATGTGCCACTCAGGAGTGGCACTAGCCATTTACTGAGGCGAAAGCCATTGGCATGTGCCATTCAGGAGTGGCACTAGCCATTTACTGAGGCGAAAGCCATTGGCATGTGCCATTCAGGAGTGGCAATCAGTAGCAGTACTAGCTGCTTATCACACAGTGGACAAAGTTCCAAGGTTTGAAAATAGTTCTTGATTAGCCTGCATCTCACAGGTAAATGCACCAGTTGAAAGTTTGATCTCAAACGTAAGCAATATTGGTCAATAATTGTATTCAGTAATTCTTGTGAATGTGTTCCTGTTACTAATTTCGGAGTTCCTGAGCTATTGCGTAACATTTACAGTTACAAAGCTACCTTGCCACATTTGCAAGTATTGTACAGTGTTGTTCTCATGGTATATGGGGTATTTAAAATTTGAATTGTGTGAGTAATCTTAAAGCACATGCAATGTAAAATAAAAGGAACTGTACTGGTACATTTTTTAAGGTACAATGTAAATTTAACCAAATGTGTACCATTAATATGCTTTTCCCAGATAAAGGATATATTTGTTCATTTGCATAATCTAAAACAGAACAATAAAATAAAAAAGCATGGAGACAAGACTGGGTATGTTCAGTCAATATAGTTGCAATAGATTACGCTCCCCAAATAAAAGGACTCAAGACGTACCTTGAGAGTACCACCCCTGTGACAGTTCAGTATAAACCCCTGTGTGTTTAAAACATTAAGTTATCCCCACTTTAACGGATGTAACGTTGAGAGCTCTTGACAGTATGGATGAATATAGGTCAAGGTGGCAATCAATCAATCAATTTTTTGTCACGTTTTGTGATAGTTTTCACTACTGACTCCCTTATGAACAGCATGAGGTGCTATTTTCAAAACTTAGCACTTGGTAACATGTAAATATAATTATCTCCCCCACCACCCAGCAAAATGCTGGCCAACAGTAAATGGCTAGTGCCACTCCTGAGCGGCACATGCCAGTACCTTTACCCTCAGTAAATGGCTAGTGCCACTCCTGAAAAAATAATAAATAAAACCAAGAACACAAGCCTGCGTTCCTCTAATTATTATTAATTATTTTGAGTACATCTGTAACACCAGCTGCTTTCTTCAGCTCTCTGTGCCACAACAAAAGCCCAAAATGACAGACTATCTGCAAAGAGTCTTTAGGTCAACATTCCTCCATGACTTTTCCCAGGTTCTGATGGCCGATGGTGAAGCTATGATGTGCTGCTAGTTAGCCGAGCCGAGTAGCCGCTGTCCAGAGTCTTTGCTTTACTCACAGGAGCTGATGATATGTGTCTGTTTTGAGAGGCACACACCGTTTCTGTGTGGCTGAGGCGATTTTTCGAAAACCCTATTCATTCTGGCCATAGAGAAATGGAGCTTAGACCCGGAGTTCCTAATATGGGCATAAGAACATGGCCCCGACTACAAAAATGACGACACGACTACAGAGCGGGTTTATGAGGAGCCTGGCCACTTCCTATTCCCCCCTTATATCAAAAACAGGACTGCTAAACAGCAGAGGGCACCCATGAGTGAGTCCTCAATGAATGGGAGTAAATGGCGCTCAACGGCTAAAACGAAAAGTTAAAATAGTTTCTAATCACTTGCCCAGAACTTTTCTTTAATTTTAGAAAGCAGAAGGATATATTTCACTAAAAAAAACAAAGAAATATTACCTATATATTTCTTTTTTTCTACAGCAAACGGGTTTTGGGCAGCAGCAGGCGGGCATTACTGCTAGAGCGTGAAGATTGATTGGCGAGCGGAGCAGCTCATTGGCTGTTCGCACTCACAGACGTCATGAACATACATGAGGTGCCGTTTTAAACTCCTATAACTCAAGTTTAAAAGCTCTTAAAATATAACAGCAGTATTAAAATATTTTATGCTATTCGGTGTCCAGGAAATGGTTGCATTCTTTTACATTAAAAATGTTTAAGCATTTATAAACTATGATTTTGCTCAAATGCTCCATATCAACCCATTCATTTTGGACTAACTCGGGAGCGCCCTCTAGCGTTTGAGAAAACCGGAAGACATTGCAGAGTGGGAATTCTCCTCTCTACAAGTTCTCTGACATTAGTTTGAACAGATCACGCTCCTAAACTGACCCGCATGACACATCTGTGTCACATATGAGGAAAAAGATCGGATTTGGGCCACTTACCTGCTGTGCAAACGTAGCCTTAGAGACACTTGTCTGCCTCTGATACTGTCTGTTCTAAGCCATTGTGCCTCTCAAACATGCCTTTTTATTCTCCAAAGGTTGTGAAAATAAATATTAACAGGAAAAGAGGACAGTTGGATGTTTGCTGGCTTAAGCAATTAAAGAACAGTATGTAACGTAATGAACTATAATATTGTTCTTGGTGAGCACTATTTACCTTACGTATCCATGCGTCGCGCGCATTATTACTAAAATATAGCACAGGTTGGAGAAGAATCCTCCGCAGCAAACGACCTGTACAAGGGAGCAACAGTTCTGTTATATGAAGCTGTATATTAGCGAATAAAGCTCATGTTACTTACCTCGACCGGTGTCCTCCTGCGTAAGAAGAACCATCTTACACAGTATACAGGTATGTACTGGTCGTTTGTCACATTCTTTTTCACAGTATTTTATCTTTTGTTGATGAGACTGTTCGCTGGCTATGTAAAACGAGTTTTCTAGCTAGGACCATAGATATACACACTTAGATGCTGCATTGGGTCCAGCCAGGCATGTCAACAGCGCCGCCATTTTGGGTGGTCAACATTGCTGCTGGACTGCATTCTGTATTATTGCAGAGTGGC